CCATTCTCTCTCATTACATTTTTACGTGTCCTATGCCATGGAGTTTCTTGACAAAATCAGAAAAGTATTGTGCTTCCTGGCTGAGTGCTTATCATCACGGATTGCAATGGGAAGACGGGATGATCCCTTACACCATGGTGAAACGCCAGATTACAATGGCTGTAATTGGTGTGGAAGAGAATGATGACAATAAGGCTCTCGTATACGTTAAAGGACGTGAAAAACGCGAATGGCTGGCTGATGTACTCGATAACGACAACTTGACCATTGAGATCTTGGATGCTGATTACAAAGATATAGATTCTTTACATAATCTAGATGTTACCAATACTATGCGATGTGGAAAACATATTAAGAATTGTGCGTTACAAAATGTATTTAAAATACATAACTGGTGGTCACAACGCCAAGAAAAAATGTATCAAGTTTAAAGAATAAAATATGAGATTTTTTTTTTTAAATTTTAGATTTCTTTTCCTTTCCCTTCCTTTGTAATATATAAACGTATGTATAAATGTATGTATTAATGTATGTATAAACATATGTGCGTATAAACGTATGTAAAAACGTACGTATAAACGTATGTATAAACGTATGTACGTATAAACGTATGTAAAAAAACGTATATACAAACGGATGTACGTATAAACGTATGTAAAAAAACGTATGTATGTATAAACGTATGTATAAACGTATGTATAAATGTATGTAAAAACGTATGTATAAACGTATGTACGTATAAACGTATGTAAAAAACGTATGTATGAACGTATGTATAAACGTATGTATAAACGTATGTATAAACGTATGTATAAACGTATGTATAAACGTATGTATAGACGTATGTATAAACGTATGTACGTACAAGCGTATGTATGTATGTATATATGTATGTATAAACGTATGTATAAACGTATGTATAAACGTATGTATGTATGAACGTATGTATAAACGTATGTAAAAACGTATGTATAAACGTATGTACGTATAAACGTATGTAAAAAACGTATGTATGAACATATGTATAAACGTATGTATAAACTCAATTAATAATAGAATGTAACGGCCTATTACGGTTGGATCTTCGTTGCTTTAAATAATTCAATCTTGAATTACTAATATATACTATATATGTACTTGCATATATACCATATTGTAGTCTTTTTCAAACTGCGCGCCGAATTTTTTCCGGACTCAATAAACGCAATTAAAACTACTCTAGTAATCGCGAATTAAATTGACAAACAATTTAATAATTTGATGCTACCATCAAGCATCATATATTATAAAGATG